CCAACAATTCCAGAATCCTTCCAGCTACTTCTCTGTTCAGTGAGAACTCACTTCTTCAAATCTTCAAGATCTTCAAGGCACACTCAACATTAATGGTGAAATCTCTATAGCCCTAGCTCTTCTGAAGTGTCTCAAATAGTAGGAAATCCATGGTCTTGGGAAACAACTCATTTCATTTTTGACAGTTGTCCATTTTTTTACAGCATTCTTCCTTTTTTGGAAATGTGTTTCTTTTTCTCTGAACTCATACATAATTTCTAGAGCTGTCCACAGTTGATCCTGCTGAACCAGTGGAATCCACCTGCCACTTGGTGATTGCCAGTGCATCCCTGACAACTTCTTACAGACCTGGCCCAAGTCTCTTACACCTAGACAAGGCAGTTCCATATGTGACATTTCCAACCATGCTTTTGGATGTCATTACTTGGCCTTTTTTAATTGGGACCTCAGTTCTCTGAGGGGCCCAAAATGGCTACTGATGGATCAATACTGAAATTTTAAGAGGTTTCTCTTTACATTTCATGGCTCAGGCCAGATGCTACCTTCTTTAAGTCTTCCTTGATGGGACTCAGTCAGGCAATGAGCAGCATCTTTTGTGGTGTCCTTGTACCACCTAGGACCTTACTTTGCTTATGCACCTATCACAGTATATCATAACTATTGATTTATCTTTGCTTTCTTCTGTCCCATTGTGCCCTTCTCTTTGACAGTGGACTCTATCTTAATCATTACAGTCCCTCCATTCCTGGCTTAGAATAGAGGATTTGTGCTGGTTGATTGCTTTACTGATTCGAGAAACCAAAATTGGAGTTCCAGATACTGTGGCTGGTCAGAAAAAGAAATGTCTTTGTGCAGAAGATTGTTGATGTTCCACAGATGAGACCCTTTGGGGCAAATCCTGGATGTTGCATGTTCACATTATGCAGGCTAGGCTGAGAGATTTGTGGGGAGCAGAGTGTAGACTGGCGTGCTTCTGAGACTTCCTGGACACTGCTGCCTGTCCCAGTGCCAGTCATGACTGGTGGCTCTAGTGTCTTCTCCAGCTCCCCAACACAGGTAACAAAGCTTGACCTTAGCTGGTTTTTTTTTTTTAAAGATGTATTTATTTATTTGAAAGTCAGAGCCACACAGTGAGAGAAGGAGAGGCAGAGAGAGAGAGAGAGAGAGAGAGGTCTTCCATCCAATGGTTCACTTCCCAGTTGGCCGCAACGGCCTGAGCTGTGCCGATCCGAAGGCAGGAGCCAGGAGCTTCCTCTGGGTCTCCCATGTGGGTGCAGGGGCCCAAGGACCTGGGCCATCTTCCACTGCCTTCCCAGGCCACAGCAGAGAGCTGGATCGGAAGTGGAGCAGCCAGGTCTTGAACCGGCACCCACATGGGATGCCAGCACTGCAGGTCAGGGCGTTAACCCGCTGCACCACAGCACCGGCCCCATGACCTTAGCTGTTTTGTTGTTGTTGTTGTTGTTGTTGTTGTTTTTTGTACTTTTTACCAAGTGGCAATTGATCATCAAACTTACTTATTTACTTTTCTACAATGAGGATTGCAGGTCATTATGCCCAAGGAATGAGTCCTTCCCAGGACATGTATCTTCTTCTTTAAGATTCATTTATTTATTTAAAAGTCAGAGTTACACAGAGAGAGGAGAGAGAGAGAGACAGAGAGAGAGACCCTCCATCCGCTGGTTCACTCTCCAATTTGCTGCAGTGGTCAGAGCTGCACCCATCTGAACCCAGGAGCCAGGAGCTTCTTCCAGGTCTCCCACATAGGTGCAGGGGCCCAAGGACTTGGGCCATCTTCTACTGCTTTCCCGGGCCATAGCAGAGAGCTGGATGAGAAGTGGAGCAGCCAGGACTTGAACCGGCGCCCACATCAGATGCTGGCATTGCAGGCAACAGCTTTACCTGCTATGCTGCAGCATTGGCCCCAAGACATGTATCTTCTAACAGGAATTTTCACCAGCTTGCTGTATCATTTGCATGTTTGCATATGAATGTAGTCCTAGCTAAGCCTTAAATACAGAAGACACTAGGGATAGGTCTCCACTCTACCAGACATAACACTTTCTCTCCACTAGACAAGCAGGGTGAGAGAGAATAAGTCTGGCTCAGTGTCTTCAGGGCAACGTTATTAACAGCCTCTTGCAACTGAAATATGTTCTTCAGGGGCTGGGAAGTATTCATTGTGTTTATTTTCTCAAACCCCTTCCCTATGGTGGCTTTTGTCTAGCTACCTATCCCAGAGACAAGGTTTCTTTAGAGCTATTAGAGATTCTTCAAAGAGAAAAACCAAAACTCAAGGCTCAAACTTTTCCCTTACCCTAATCTGTGACCAGTTATCAGGAACTTCCTTTTTATTTTAGCATTTTTGTCCCAGTTCAGTGTTTGATAGTTGGCCAAGTGTTTTTACAATACCCTAAAACCCCCCAAACCACCCAGCCACTGAGATGCTGCTCTGTGTTGGTGGGTGTTGGACATGGCAGTTCCTGGCGTAATCTAGCTTGTGTGTTGAGGAGAACCTTGGAGGATGGTCTCCCATGGAAGCTGGCAACTAGTATAGCCTCAAAACAAATTATCCAGAATAATTAAATGAAGTCAGAGTTTCCCCACTTATGAGAGGGTGGGGAGCATTTCGGGGGGGGGGGGTCACGGTAGGTATTTAAAAGGTTAACTCCTGGAGCTGGCATTGTGGTGCAGCGGGTAAAACCTCTGCCTCACAATGTCAGCATTCTATATGGGTACTTACTTATTCAAGTGGCTGCTCCACTTCCAATCCAGTTCTTTGTTAATGCACCTGGGAAAAGCAGTGGAAGATGATCCAAATGCTTGGCCTCCTGCCACCCATGTGCGAGACCCAGAAAAAGCTCCTAGCTCCTGGCACAGCCCTGGCCGTAGGTAGCTATGTGAACCAGTGGATAGAAGATCTCTCTCTCTCTCTACCTCTGCCTCTCTATAACTCTGACTTTCAAATAAATAAATCTTCAATAAATAAAAGCTTAACTCCAGGTCTGAGACCATGTCAGAGACACTACTGTCCCAATCTCCATGTCCTGGACATATAAATGAGAAATATAAAAATTTCAGGGGATGGGGCCAACGCTGTGGCATAGGGGGCTAAGCCTCTGCCTGTGGTGCTGTGGTGCTGGCATCCATATGGGTGCCAATTTGTGTCCCGGCTGCTCCACTTCCAATCCAGCTCTGTGCTTATGGCCTGGGAAAGCAGTGGAAGATGGTCCAAGTCCTTGGGCCCCTGTACCCACATGCAGAAGAAGCTCTTGGCTCCTGGCTTCAGCCTGGCCCAGCCCTGGCTGTTGTGGCTATTTGGGGAGTGAACCAGGGGATGGAAGATCTCTCTCTCTCTCTCTCTGTAACTCTGCCTTTCAAATAAAATCTTAAAAAAAATTCAGAGGGAGAAATATAATATAGTATGTGAATATCACCTTTTGATTCTTTGAAATGCATTTAATAGGTAAAATCACTTTATAATAAACTTTTGGAGTTTGAATCTATATTATTTTCACTATTTTTAAAAAAATGTATTGAGTTGAGAGAGTGAGAGAGAATGCTCCTATCTACTGGTTCACTCTTCAAATGCCTGCAGCACCTAGGACTGAAGGTGGGAACAGGGGACTCAGATTTCCCAAATGGGTGGCAGGAACCCAATCACTTGGGCCATCGTGTAGGGTCTGCATTAGCAGGAAGCTGGAGTCAGGAGCCAGAGCCAGGTCTTGAACCCCAGCACTCCTATATGGAACACAGGCATCTTAGCCTCTAGGTCAAATGCCCTCCCCCGCCTACTTGTATTTTCTACCTTGGTTAACAAATATTATGTGGGGGAAGAACGCTCCATAGTTAGGTGCGCCTGGCAGTGTCCTAATGGCATGTGGTCAGTGCAGAAAGCCGCAGCGACCTCCCCCAACAGTGCAGTGCGGAGACCATCGTGGGCAGTGAATAGGACCCAAGATGCAAGAGCTTATTCGAAGCTTGTCAGATGTGCCTGCTTCTTAAGGTTGTCAGTGAGGCTCCACCAACCCCCTGGGCAGGGGGCCGCTATGGAAGTGTCTTCCTTTCCTTCCCATAAACACATCACGAGAGGGTGAATGTAGCCCTGTGAGTTTGCGACAAGTTTATTAAGATGCTCCTGGGCTGAGGCTCTCATCCAAGAAATGCTGCAGTTGGAGGAGAAGGTGGAGATGTTGGGGGGTGGGGGGTGGGAGGTGTCATTGGGTGGTTAGTGAAAATACAGTTGTCAAGGCAAGGAGAGAGGGTGGTGTTTAGTATTGAAATCATGTATCCCAGATGTGGGCATTTGGTAGTCAGTCTGCTCTGAAGCGGCACGCTGCTGAATCTTTAAAGGGCTTCAGCCGGAGAGAGCAAAATCTGATTGGGCAAATTGCTAAAATATTTAAAGAGCGGCCTGTTAAAGCTTTTACTGCGAAGAGCATCGCGTCAGAAGTTGTAGTCAGAAAGAGTGAATAATTGGCTTTCCATCCCCACGCCAGTCAGTCAGCATGAGGCTCTGTTCCTATTGTTTCCTCTTCATTGCCAATGCTAATAGCAACCCTTTGGTGAGCGTGTGCGTGCACGGTGTGTGCATGTGTGTGCATGCGTGTGTGTGTGTGCGTGCGTGTGTGTGTTCTGCAAAAATTGGATAGTTGGTCAAGCAAGAGTCCAGGGAGCGAGAGAGCCCCATCAAAAGCTAGACTGAGTCCATGAAATGATGTGGCTGAAGAATATTTAGGGAAAGAGAAGCAGAAGAAAGGGGACTGCCCGACAAGGCTCACCTGTACTTCCAGATGAGTGGGGGTGGTGTAGGGCTGTTGTCGTTCAAAGGATAGATTCTGTAAGCAAAAAACCAAACCAAACCAAAACTCCACAAAACTCTTCAGTGACAGCCACTTCTTTTGCATCTTTCATCCCCTCTGAAGGGGAACTCAGGGGACACTTTGCATTTATAATTTATCACGCTTTCCACTTCAGTTTTCCTGTCCTTTCCTTTCCAGACACGACCCCTTGTTAATTCCTGGCAATGATCAGATTGACAACATGGACTCCAACGTGAAGAAGTATGACTCCACGGGGATGTTCCATTGGTGTGCACCCAAGGAGATAGAGAAAGTCATCCTGGTGAGTGAGGAACCTGGAAACCGTGTCACCCTCTTCTGCCACAGCTACATGTGCTAGCAATGAGGTTGTGTTAACTGAATAGTGGGCACGATATAGTCCCCGGCCAAACAGAGACTGAAGCAGCTAGAACTCTGATTAGAAAATGAGCTGAGAGTAGAATTTTCAATCCATGAATATTTATTGATTAATTACAATAGCAAGTGGTCAGGTGCTGTGTAAAAGGCATCATGGGAATTCGTGAGACCGGGTTCTGGAATCAGAACATGCCTTTGTCATGTGAGCCCATGGCCTTGGGCATGTTGCTTGACTTTTTTTTTCACATCAATTCTTTTATTTGTAAGATGAGATAAGGATGATCCTAACTTACAAGGTTGCAATCTGACATATGCTTCTGTAAAGTTAGCTGTTATTATTCTCATCATTATTAAAAGCCATGAGGAGGCTGGCGCTGCGGCTCACTAGGCTAATCCTCCGCCTTGCGGCGCCGGCACACCGTGTTCTAGTCCCGGTCGGGGCGCCTGATTCTGTCCTGGTTGCCCCTCTTCCAGGCCAGCTCTCTGCTGTGGCCAGGGAGTGCAGTGGAGGATGGCCCAAGTGCTTGGGCCCTGCACCCCATGGGAGACCAGGAGAAGCACCTGGCTCCTGGCTCCTGCCATCGGATCAGCGCGGTGTGCTGGCCGCAGCGCGCCGGCCGCGGCGGCCATTGGAGGGTGAACCAACGGCAAAGGAAGACCTTTCTCTCTGTCTCTCTCTCACACAGTCCACTCTGCCTGTCAAAAAAAAAAAAAAAAAAAAAGCCATGAGGAAGTCTGGGTGCTGCCTTCTTAGCATATGATGTGGACAGACAAGTGCATTTGCTGACAATGACGGTGAACCCTGGTCCACCTTGGGAAGGTCGGGAGCCTGTTTTGTTGCTGGCTTCCAAACATCCCCACCTCAGCGATGGGCTTCTTCCTGTCCCAGGAGCATCAGCAGAGCTAACGCTGCATCCTGCTCTTTCCATTTGTCGTATTAACAGCTTTAGGTTTTAATGCCGGCGTCGGCTTTCCTAGAGTGGATTGTTTGGCTAATCCATGAAAATGGATTAATAATCAAGGAAGGTCACAGGGAAGGTTCCTTCTCCTTAGTGCTTCCAATCCTCAGACTGCTGTGGGCTTCCTTGTTTGCCAGCCAGGGAAGTTGACCGTTTCTGATGACGGGACTCCCTTCGCTAAATAAGAATGGAGCCAGATCTCCACAGTGGCTTTGTACTCTAATCCAGCAAGTTCCCCCTCTGTTTTTATCCAAGTGTATATTTTTTTCAACTTAATTATAGGCAAGCATGGCAACCAATACAGCCTCACGCTGGAGGCTCTCTCTGAGGTGTCAAAATTGCAGACAAAGGCACAGAAAGTCAGAATTCTCAATACTCATTGTCCAATGTATGAGGAGTACAAGAAGTTCTAACCACAACGCTGCTCTGTGTATTTACCTTGTGGTGTTCTGTCCACTGCGCTGTTGCTCTGGTGATATAAGCTTAGCTGTTAGCCACCTGTGGTAGGTCATAGGTGGAGTACCCAATTTGATACCCAAGCTTGTAATGATTTGCTTTGATATTCCTGAGGAGTACTTGCTAACGGACACCCGATCAACATCTTTCCATTGGGAAAGAGTTTAAACAAATTCATCTGAAAAATAGCATCCTTTACAAACTATTTATGAGAAGCCCATTATATATGCTAGGCAGTGTTCTTGTTGCTAGAGATACAAGCCCTACTGATTGCTTTTGTAGAGCTGTACTCTAGTGGGACCAAAGAGATCTCCAGGTAGGCAAATGAATATGTGATATATTCCAAATACACGTTGAACATCCCCAGTTCAGAAATCCGGTGTCTGAAATGCTGGAAAACTGGAAACTAACATGACACCACAAGTAGAAAGTTCCACATCTGACCTCAAGTGATAAGGACCCAGTCCAAATGCAGGTCCAGTAGAACTATTGTATAAAATTACTTTCAGACTAAGTGTATAAGGTATATATGAAACATAAATGAACTGCATGTTTAAACTTGAGTCCCATCCCCAAGATATATCATATGCAAATATTTCAAAATACAAAAAAATCTGAAATCCAAAATAGGTTTAGTCCCAAGTGCTTTGGATAAGAAATACTCAACTTGCATTGACGAAGTGCTATGAGGAAAATAAACCAGGGTCTTAAACTAGAAAGAGAACGGCAGGTACTGTTGAGCCAATGTGATAAGCCCTCTGCCAAATGATGTTGGAGTAGAGATGAGAATTGTAGAAAGGGCCATGTGGAGATGCTTTGAGGTATTACATATCCACTGGGCACAGGACACTAACTGCTTTGGGGATCTGAATACATAAGAGATGGTCCCAGTCTTAGAAATGATCATCTAATTGGAAAGAAGATGTGAATGTGAATGTGAGGCACAAAGTGGTGTTCAAATCTAGAAGAAAAGGACCATCTATGTTTAAGTAGCTCAGGAACTCCCATCAGATGCAAACAAGTTGCACTTCAAAGAGATTTGAGGCTGTGAGGGCCCAACTCCTTGGAGGACGGGTAGAGCAGCACATGAGTAGTTTCTCTAGTGGGTCTTAAACTTGGCAGAATCGGGCTCTCCAGGGCAGAGGTACAGGCATCAGGATCTTACAATGTTCTCCAATGATGTTGCTGCGGCTAGTCTGAGGATTGATGTGTTGAGTCCCTGTTCTAAGTTCCTGGGATCAGCATCTGTTTCCAACCCACTCCGCTAAATGGTGACTTTTCCATCTCCCCGTTTTGGGTTTCCAGCTTCAACTGTGGACCCAGTTTATAGTTCTCCAGCTTTTTGAAGGGAGTCAGCCTCTCAGGTGACTTGGCCAATTAAAAATAATTAGGAGGCCCAATGCAGAACGTGGCATGCTGGCTGACTCTCTGCTGGTAGTACCCAGGCATTCCCAGTTCCATGCGGCCCAGATAACTAACTCCATGTCTTCTCCACGGAGTGGTGATAGATTGTGTGAGCTCCCCTGGGCAGCCTCTTTGGTCACAGTTTATAAGACGTTTCTTTTAGCCTGTGTCTCAGCTTGCCCTGTGCTGTTACACAGGGAAACCAATAATGGTGACAGCCTTGCTTTATTCTAACAATCAGGGAATGAGCGCTAGCTTCCTGCTCTCCTTGGGGGTTACTGTAATAACCCTGACATTGTAGTGAATTGCAAAATTGGCATTTAAACAATCAATACACCGGTCAATTCTAGGAATTAAATCAAGCAGAGTTTGATGTGTGCAGTGGACATTAATATGCCTTCCCTAAAGCATTGTAAGCCACACGGTTCCATGCAGGCATGCGGTGGGTGGGCAGGGAGAAGGGAAGGTGAGGCGGGAGGCAACGGACCAGAAGGAGAGGCAGAGACAGGCTGACAGCTGGCGTCCTTGTTCTGTTCTCTACTTCTGTAGCATGGTGAACATCAGGGCCAGCAGTAGCAGGGAGCCATTCACACTGCCTGGGTTCCTTCTCTAATGAGAGTGACTTTGTAGTTTCTTTTGTGTCCTTCGGAAATACGGACTTGGAGTTAACCTGTTGCTCTTACTGATCTTTCTTTAGACCCTTTTAATGGTCATTGAGGAGAGGAGGGCCTTTCTCTAAATGGCTTATACAAGGTGGGCCCTCATTGGACCAGGTCAGCATTGTTTGTCTATAAAGTGGCATACAGTGAATAATTTAGGTTTTGTGGCCTTAAGATCTCAGGCACAACTAATCAGCTCTGCTGTTATAACCTGAAAGCAGTCATGTTCAGTTCCTAAATGAGTGAGCTTGGCTGTATCCTAATAAAACTTTATTGGATTTTGAATTCTAGTCTTTTCAGATAATGTGAAATAATTTTTCATTTTTTCCAACCATTTAGAAGTATAAAGATCATTTTTGGGGGGCTGGTGCTGTGGTGTAGTAGGTTAGGCCTCCACCTGTGGTGCCATCATCCCATATGGGCACCGGTTCATGTCCCGGCTGCCCCTTTCCAGTCCAGCTCTCAGCTATGGCCTGGGAAGGCAGTGGAGGATGGCCCAAGTGCTCGGGCCCCTGCACTCTCGTGGGAAACCCAGAAGGAACTCCTGGCTCCTGGCTTCAGATCAGCCCAGCTCTGGCTATTGCAGCCATTTGTGGAGTGAACCAGCGGATGAAGCTCTCTCACTGTCTCTCCTTCTCTCTCTCTGTAACTCTGCCTCTCAAATAAATAAATCTTCAAAAAAAAATCATTTTTAGTTTACAACGCACAGAAGGCTTTAGTGGACCATGTTAGGCTGTAGGCCTCGATTTTCAGCCCCGGGCTTTAGATGTTGTGTTCTACCTACTGACGTTCTGTTGCAGTTCACTGGTAAGTCTGGAACTGAAAACTCGAACTTCTCTAGCTGAGACCAGAATTGGAATCTGACCATTTCGTCGTCATCTCTGCAAAAAAGCTCAGACAGATAGGCCTTTCATTTTATCCACAAGTTCACGTTGATAAACCAAGACTTTCCTCCTTAAATAACATAACCATTCATCTTCCCTCTGCAAATCAGTATAGAACATGGACTCACGTGCATGTAAGCTAGCTATGTCTTTATTAAAGAAGGTGGTGAGTATAGGTGTGGGTTTGTGCTTACATTTTTTCTATCAATATAGTACTTTATGGTATATGCGTGTAAATAATGTTGATAAAATAAAAAAAAATAGCACGTAGTAAGCACCTAGCACTGTTTCCTTGCTCTCTGGCACAAGCGATCTTTTTTTCTCCGTATGAAACCCTCTGGAGTCTTCTCTCTAGCGCTTACTCCCATCTTCCTGCCACAGACGCGGAGCGAAGCCGCCATGACTGTCCTCAGTGGCCACGTGGTGGTCTGCATCTTCGGCGACGTCAGCTCAGCCCTGATTGGTCTCCGGAACCTGGTGATGCCGCTCCGTGCCAGCAACTTCCATTACCACGAGCTCAAGCACATTGTGTTTGTGGGCTCCATCGAGTACCTCAAGCGGGAATGGGAGACGCTTCATAACTTCCCCAAAGTGTCCATATTGCCTGTAAGTCCAAGGTCACATCCTTGAGGCCCTTCTGCTTGTTCACAAAAGACAATCCCAGAGGGACGTCCTCGTGGCAGCTTTGATCATACCTCGGCTTCTCCATCTGGGTGTGGGTCTGAGGACCCGGTCCTCCCCTCTGCTCTGAATAGGAAAGTCCAAATCCTGGGAGACTCTATTAAGATGAATTTACCACCAAGTTCAGCCCCTTGGGAAAGGTGAAGTTTAACTGATACCAGATGTATTAACCATATCTGTGTCTAGATACTCTCCCTCTCTCCTATCCCAACTGTAGAACATTGCGATGGTTATAGAAAAAATTCACTTGTAGATCTATTTGAAACATTCTGCTGTCCTATTAAGGCATAGGGAGTCTTTGATCTGTACCACCTTGTGTTTTTGACTTAGTAAGTGTAAACAACAGAGTTCTTTATCTTGGCTGTAGCCAACCCCTACTGTAAGCCAGGCCCTATCGCCATTCATTCAGAAACCGGGCAGTGTTTCCATGCCGCTGTGTGTATGTCTGTGTGTGTACACTATATGCATGTGATGTTCTTGATTGCAAAACAGAAGGACCTCGATCTAAAAGGAACATTTTGAGACTCCACAATTTAGTGTGAGGATATAGGACACAATATAGCTAATCAATTCCTAATCATAATCAATGTCTTTCCCACAAATTACAAAAAAGGTATTCATTTAAGTGCTTGATACTGTTTTCCATGTCACAAATCATGCAAACCTCATTTATCCTTTGGACATTTTTCTCATAAGTTCGTATCTGTAAAACATAGGAACTTTTCTCTTTTTTTACATGTCAAGAGGTCTGAGTTTCTCCCCTCTTAGGAAGCCACATCTGTTATTTCTATCATGAGCTTCCATAACCCCGGAAAAGTGGGGAAAGCAGTCAAGTGTTGTAGTTTGTTAGAGAAGATATAAGGATCTGTCCTCAGATAGTACTCATTAGTGGCCACCGCTTGTCTGCATAGTGCACAGTAGGTACATAATAAATATTTAAAGGAAAATGTCAGAGCTCTCCTAGATGCAGGGCCCAAAACCTACTGCCTTAGAAACCCATGCACTAGGCAAAAATAGTCACCAAGGAACCAACAGGCAAGCACAAAAAAAGCATAAATATATGCATAGTTGGCTAATTTCAGAAATATGATAGATTTGATTATTATCTTCCTATACACTCCTCCATGTGGTTCCCTAACCACTAACAGTCCCTTTATGAAGAGCTTATTATTTTAGATGGATATTTGAGTCTGTGTGTATGTGTGCGTATGTCTGTATGTAAGTGTGGGTGATGCTTTTTGTACATGTATATGCATGTTGTGTATGTGGATGTGTTTCCTTCTCCCTGCTCTTGTACACATTCCTGCCTTCATATGAATGATTGAACTCTCATATTTCCAGGCCCTTTTCAAACCCTCCAAAAATCTGACATACACAAGCACAAGAGATTTGTACAAAATGGGCCCTCATCTATGCCATCACATATGTCATTGTTTAAACAGTATCCTACAGATAGGGCCAGTCCAGAGAAACTCAAGAGGCTTCTGTGTATGTCCTTTGTATTTCTTATGGTTTGGAATCACGTGTCTATGACTGCACTGGGAACGCCCTATATCACAATCACTGCTGGAGTCCCTACAAGGTGAAAATTAAAAGAATATGGATGTAGGCACTTGGAGCTTATACACTGGCACAATGATTCAGGAAGTTGATCAGACTTATTTTGTACTATGAGGAGAGAACACTCTCCTCCCTGTCTTGAAAGGTACTGCTCCACAGCCTGGAACCTGTGTCTCCCAGAACCCACAGCACTACAGGCGCCTCCCTCCACAGCTACAGTTTCCAGCATTAGTTTGGGGCCTGAGAATGGCATCATGACCACCACCAGTCATACAATAGGATCAGTGGGTTCCATGTCTTCAGACAGGTCCTGTCCTCTCAAAGTCACTTCCCTAGGAACAGGGGTGAGAGGAAGATATGCAGAAGCAGTTGGCCACATGGTCAGTGAGTTGAAGGTGACACAGGTCTCCAGGCTGGCAAAGCAAAAAGCTCAAGTCCGGTTGGCGACCCAGGAGGCTCTTGCCCCCTGGGAATCCTGAATAATGCTGCATGGCCACTGGCAAGCTCTGACGTGGGGTGTCTGTCCCGGTTCCCTTTGCTGCGATCCCTCTTGAGGACAAAGAGCTCGTGCAGGTCATGGCCCTGTCCTTGCACCTCTGTGCAGGTTTACCTGTGGTTACAACCCTGGATTGTCTGCCATTACTACCCCGAGCTGGGTGTTTTTCCATTATCTTTTGTTGTGGCATTAAAAAAAATCTGTTTACTGGCTTATTTATTTTTAATTATACCAGTAATATAAAAGTACATCCTTGTTATAAAATATTCAAACAATACAGAAATATATAAAGTCAAAAGGAAACTTCCTCCTTCGCTTTCTCCATCCTTATCCCCTTCCCCAGAGGTAATTACTGTTAATAGTCTAGTGTGTGTTTTCCTGTGCTTTCTCTCAGAATTTACATACAATCATAAATGGATGGCTTTATTTGTGAGGTTTTTTTTTCCATATAAATGAAACAATTCTTTTTGAATTGTCCTAGGACCTTTTTTTTTTCACTTCTTCTTTGAAATGCTTGATGGCTCCCAGGAGTTTGCTCAGCCTCTTTCCCTGGTGACGCTTTTCCACTGTAGACATGTCTGGTAGCACAAGGGTGTTTCAGAAAGTTTGTAGAAAAGTGGTCTTGAAAGGTAAGTTTATTTTGGTGCAATTAAAAAACTATGTGTAGTTTTTTTTTTCCAAAATATGTATTTTTGTGAATTTTTGGAGGCTCCCTCTGATGCATGGATTTCAACTTCTTTTTTTGCATCAAAATGCACTTATCTTTTAAAACCACTTTCCACAAACTTTTCGAAGTACCCCAGTATATTTAATCATTCCCTATTGTGGAATAGTTAGGCAGTCCCCTTGTATTTTTTTTCTTACTGAAAATGTACTGTAACATTGTATGACCAGAAGCTTAACTCTTTTGCATCTCCCCTTTGCAAGGTGCACATTAATTCTACTCCCTCCCCAAGCCTCCAAACTGAGCAGAGCTTTCCGCCCCCGCCTCACCCCTCTCCCTGCTCAACGGCGATTTCCCCCCGGCTGCCTTAGAAATTTCGGATGGAACTGTTGTCTTTTGCCGGAGACAGAAGTGACCTGGCATTAAATAAACAGGCATTGCAAACCCACCCCCTCACCGCATTCTGAAAGCCAGAGGTTGCCACAGGACAGTTACTTAAATCAAGACAATTTCCAGGCAGGAAGAAGATGTAGGGCCCTGGCATGATTCCTCTCCTGCGTTTGTTAGTAATAGCTTGATTGAGTACTGAGAGCAAGGCTGAAACGCTGCCATCAGCACTGACTACCCTTTAGATTAGCACACAGTCCCTATTCCCTGGAATGTAGTTAGGCCAGCTTAATGTCAAGGCATAAAAAAAGATACTTGTTAAATAATTTCCCAAAGCTCCGGCTCAATCTTTAATTTGTTTTTTTTTTTTTTTCCCCCTCCTTCCCTCTCCTCTCTCTCCCTCTCACTTTGGCTTCTTTCTCTCTTTCTTTCCTGTATGCCAAAGGGTACGCCATTAAGTCGGGCTGATTTAAGGGCTGTCAACATCAACCTCTGTGACATGTGCGTTATCCTGTCAGCCAATCAGAATAATATTGATGATACTTCGCTGCAGGACAAGGAATGCATCTTGGCGTCACTCAACATCAAATCTATGCAGTTTGATGACAGCATCGGGGTCTTGCAGGCGAATTCCCAAGGTAAGGACAGCCTGTAATACTTCTTTGCTGTGCCTGTGGGGGACAGGGACTGGCAAGAGGGATATCCTTCACTCAGTAATTCAAAGAGGCTCACATCAGCCTGCCTGGCAGTAAAACCTGTGGTTGCAGTGATAGCTTTCAAAGGGCGTCTGCTACCCCTTCTGCTGTCCCAGGACACGGACCTGAGACGGCTCACCTCCCCACCCCCCACCAGGTTGCCTTGCCCGAGAATAAACAAGCCTTTAAGTAGCCAGCCCCCTTAGTCACTCCAAACAGTGGCTATGCGACCAGGGTCGCCGAGTAAATGTCAGAGCCCTGAAAAGATGCTGCACAATTCTAGCATTTTCTGCCAGTGAACAAGGGGACTTCAAAGAGTTCATGGAAAAATGGAACTAAAAGATAATGTTATTTGGGTGCAAAACATTGAAATCCGTCCATGTGGTTTTTTTTTTTTCATGCTACACATTTTTCATGTATTTTTAAAAGACCTCACATGTATGTTTGCCACTGTGCTGGGATGGGATGTCAAGCTTCACCGTTTTTAGGGCTCTGTGTAAGACTCTGCTCACTGGCCGACGCCGCGGCTCACTAGGCTAATCCTCCGCCTTGGGGCGCTGGCACACCGGGTTCTAGTCCTGGTCGGGGTGCCGGATTCTGTCCGGGTTGCCCCTCTTCCAGGCCAGCTCTCTGCTGTGGCCCGGGAGTGCAGTGGAGGATGGCCCAAGTCCTTGGGCCCTGTACCTGCCATCGGATCAGCGCGGTACGCCGGCCGCAGCGTGCTGGCTGCGGCAGCCATTGGAGGGTGAACCAATGGCAAAAGGAAGACCTTTCTCTCTGTCTCTCTCTCTCACTATCCACTCTGCCTGTCAAAAAAAAAAAAAAAAAAAAAAAAAAAAGACTCTGCTCACCACGGGGTGTGCGTGTCTGGCGAGTGGGGTTTGTATGGACACCCAGAGTCGCTTAGCAGGAGGAGCTACTTGTCAGCGCGCGCATTTTCCCAGGGGAGGCACAGCAGCCTTAAATGACACACATCTGTTTTCTGCTCTGCCCCTGTTCTTTCCTGTCATTTGCTCTGGGACTGTGAGCAGGTGGTTATAAGTAAAGATGTCATCCAGGAGTGTCACAGAGGCTGCGCAGCAGAATCGCCCTAACGAAGGACTTCAGCCATCGGGATCTGGCAGGATGGGCCGCACGGCCTGTTCTTCTGAGTGACGCCTCCGTGTGGGCTTCCTGGGAACTGTAGGCTGGTTGTCATGCAGGGTCTACCGGATGGCTGCCAGTGTGTTTCCCTGCTGGGGCCTGAATCCTAGCATTCCCGGATAGAAGGCTGAAGGGGCACAGCCATGAGGGCTGATGCTACTGGGATGCAAAGCAACATTTTAGGAGAGCAGGGCAAGTGTCTGACCACCCTGGTCTGTATGCAGAGCTTTCTGGAAGCTCAGCTCCATTGTGCAGCCTAGGGTTGCTGTGTCTTCCACGGTCCCTTGTCAACCTCCTCCTAGCGTGTGCTCAGCCTTGTAGCAAAGCCAGGAACCGTAGTTCCCAGAATCCTCTTCCTCACGTGTTTTCTGCCTTTCATCGGTTCTGGACTAGAGTTAGCCCATGAAAGAAGGGCCCTGGGGTGTGACTTTGAAAGTGAAAGAGAGAGAGAGGCCTCGACATTGGAGGCAGCTGCAGCCATACTGGAGGCTGAGCAGACTGGTAGTGCAAAGCGGTTCTTGGAGAAGCTGTCTGGAAACAAATGGTTGTGCACTGGGGACTGAGAAAGGTGGGGTCTTCGGGGAGGACCTCCCATGTGGTGCTGCCTGTAAAATGCCCTTGCCCTGCTGACAACATGGATACTGCCAGAGGTCGATTTGCGATCTCTCTACTCTACGGTCCTCTCCTCTCCCCAAGTCCTAAATCATGGTGTCCCCTTGCTCAGCTGTGCCTGCGGGAGGATGTAGCAAGTCCAGGCCCCAGGAGGAGCCCAGAGCTGGTCCTTCCAGCTGCCCGAGGAGGCAGAGTCCAGAATCATAGGCAGCGACTCAGTGTGCTGAGATGGCCTTCCAGGAGGAGAAAGAGGCAACCTGGTGTTTGATCCCCCCATTTAAGCCCTGGCCCCTCATGACGTGACCTTCCACCTCCCCTCAGGATCAGCATCGCCTGGGGGGAGCTTGCTGGCTAGGGAGAGCCTCATGGCCCTGCCTGGAGTTTTGGGTCAGAATCTACCTTCTAACAAGATACTATGTGTGCTGCTTTAAGGTACAACCGGTTTTCCTGGTAACAAAACCAGTGCCACAAGCCAGATTAGGCATGCCTCCTCTCCTGGGGAGTGGCTAGCACGCACCGTGGACAAAAGTGGAAGCAGCAGGAGATGGAGGAGGCAGGAGGAGCCAGAAACATTCCTTTCCCCTCCTCTCCGTGCTTTGTACCCCTAATCCAGGCATCAGGGTTGCCAGGGTCTGTGGGTCAAAATGTGCGTGTATCCTTTGGTTCATTTGGCTCCGACACAGGTGCTCCTCCCAGCTCGCATAACCCCTGTCCTGCCTCTCAGATTCCATGTGTTGGCCAAAGGGACAGAGAGGCTTCCCTTCGCCAGTGCTCAAAAGCCTCCTTCAATGCCTTCTAGCACAGGCATAAGCAAGAATCATAAAGTGTGGCAGGGGATATAGAGCCAGGGAGCTTGTTTTTCTTCTAAAGAAAAGAAAGAGGAGTTTCCCTTGGTGCACACACTGCACACTGCTGTCATTCGGAGTTCTGTTTCCCTGCCCACGGTCACACGCCGAAATCCTAACGCCCAGGTGATGCCCCTCCGTGTTTGTCTCTCCTCGCTGCTCTCCACTTATCCTTGTTTGTAACCCTCTGGTCACCTTCTGACCTGCCAGTGGCGGTGGTCCCACGATGGCCGTTGACACACCCTCCCAGTACGCACCTCTGGCTAGGAGGCCCAGCCCCAGAGACTCTTGTTACTCTAAATCTGGGCATTTGGCATGACCAGGCTCTGGGAGGATTGGAATGACAGGGGACAACAGGGATTCCAGATTACTCTTCGTTTTGGGAAACAAATTTAGCTCCGCCCGAATGATAGCAATGTAGATTCCTTGCCAGTGCCACACCCTTGATTTTCATTACCATGAACTCTGGTCTGTATATCACTCCATCCTCCACCTTTCTACAGATCTCTGTTACTCTCTCTCCAGACCCCAGCTGGACAGACAGCTGGGCTCAGGACACATGGGCTCTTGGGCCAGGACGTTCATACAACGGAGGTTTTCTAACGCGATCCAACCGAACGTGAAAAACCTGTGTTAACCTGGAGAAAGTAGAACCCTCCATGGGCATTGTGTCCAGACCCTCACTCCTGTGGTTATTAGGTCTCTCCTCTTGTACGTCCCCTATAGTGTCCCTTTTCTAGCCCACATGGTGTCAGAACTGCCCGAGCCTAAGGATTCTGGCCCAGCCAGCCTCTGAAGAGATGGGCAATGTGATGGTTGGTTGTCAAAAACAATTACAGAAAGCAGTGGCACAGCCCATGCTGGATGGTCTATCAGATGTGACACTTGGGTCTATGAGATGCAGTTTTAATATACAGCAGGCAAAGCGGCAGTGACAATTATATAAAGCAGGTGAAGCCGCTTCTTGCTGGTCAGCAAACATCAGCTCTGAACCACTTTACAGCTCTTTACCAGCAACTAAGAGCCTTTATTTACAGAGTGCCTGTCACTTCCCTTTGGCTGGAGAGCTGGTGTATTATTTAGCACGCATTTATCTGGGGAAAACATTTCCATTTAAATCAGCTGGTACAACAGTGGCTCTCACCAGACTGTTTCCCTGTGGTTCTCAAAGACAAGAATTGAGTGTGATCTTGGAAGAGAGGGTGAGCCGATGGAGGATCCAATCTCAGAGACCCCCTCAAGTCGGTATCTGGAGAGAGGGCACCCATGGCAGGGTCTCCCCTTCTGCTTTTTAGATCAAGATACAAAATGAGGATCGTACAGTTTCTTCCTGCTTAACTTCCCAAGAACAGTAACTGAAGGGAAAGAAAGAGAAATAAATGGGTGTCTCCATATGTCAGGTGCTATAAAAACCCAGGGCACAAAGATGACCTGGATGCAGGCACTCAGTATCCTGGAGGAGCTCAGGTGAGTAGTAGAGGAAGCCCCCCCCCCCCCCCCAAACAGTGACAAGATAACGAGACGATGACCAGGCTCCAGAGAGGGGAGCACAGAAGGCTTCTCATTTGGTTTATTTCAAGGAACCGAGGAAGCTTCTACAGCTCAGGAAGCCCCTGAGATGTGGTCAGTGTGACCAAGGAACTGCATTTCCCTTTCATTCAGTTGTAACCAATCTCTGTAGTCACTCACGGCCAGCGGCTACCATATTGAACAGCACAGGCCCAGAGTGTAGACCTGTTGTATTGCTAAGGGTTTGCATTTCAGGGAGTCATTAAATACGTATAGGAAAATGGTGATTCAGTCCATCTTTAGAAAAGACACCAGGCAAAAACATGAGTATATAGTTAAAGGTAGGACGAGATTGAGGACCAAACTGTGTAATCAAACTGCTGCAGAGGATTTGAAAGGCTGGGATTAAGGCTGACAACCTAGCCTTTGTGATGTAAGGAAGGTGCTGGCGCCGCCTGCGGCGCTGGCACCACAGGTTCTAGTCCCGGTTAGAGCGCCAGGTTCTGTCCCGGTTGCTCCTCTTCCAGTCCAGCTCTCTGCTGTGGCCTGGGAAGGCAGTGGAGGATGGCCCGAGTGCTTGGGCCCTGCACCTGCATGGTAGAGGAAGGCAGGCATGACAGAAATTGGGGTGGATTTGAAGCACGGAAAAGAAAGTGATTGAAAGTCATTTGGGCATGTTGGGTGGAGGCCTGAGTAAGGATGAGGATTGAGGAATGAGTTTTGAGCTTGGCAATTAGGTGGATGTGAAGCAATTAAGTAAGCCAAGCCCTGATGAGAACGAAGCTTGCGGACGAAGGAAAAGGATTCACTCCTGGCCTCTCTCCATCCTTGAGG